TCTTCAGATTTCATGTAGTTATTCAGGCACCAACCAAATGGCAGCATGTATTAAAAGTGGGCTAGCAGACGGAGCAGCTGCAGGCTCTAAGCCCATTAACTGAGTAAATATGGCCTTATGGGCAAGAGGCTGGGTTGCAGAATGTGCCCTTTTGACATTTAAATGAATATATGTATTTTTTTGTTTTGTATAAGTGCATCAAATATTTTTGCTTTGCTCATTTGTAAAATATAAGATATAAATGGGAAACCACAGGGAGGAAGTAGGATAGCTGTTGTTGCATGTTGCAATCACTGAGATGAAACAAAGTATATGATTTGTTGAATGTAAAGCTGATGATCTTGTCTGTAAACCTTGACTCAATTCACAATAAAAAGTTAAAAAAAAAAAAAAAAAGTGGGCTAGCAGCTTCCCATTAAACCTGAGAGGCAGAAAATGTAGGTGGACACTACATGTCCTATGGATTACAAAAGAGTTAAGCACCTCAGATGATGACAAAAATTGTCACTTTATATTGTTGTTGTTGTTATGTGCCGTGGAGTCAGTTGCACCTCATAGCAACCCTATACAGGGTTTCCAAGGCTGTAAATCTTTACAGAAGCAGAAAGCCTCATCTTTCTCCCGTGGAACAGCTGCTAGTTTGGAACTGCTGACCTTGTGGTTTGCAGCCCTATTCATAACCACTACGCTACTTATTGTACCATAAAAGGCTTATTATGGTGACATTTCATAACTATGTTAATCAGGGTTTCCCTAATTTAGTAATGTTCCTGATTTATTAATTGCTGATTTAGTAATGAGAAGCAAGTACAGTTTGAAAGGTTTTCTGGTGCTTACCTTAGTAAACCGGGGATGATCAGATACACTAGTCTTTTCAGAAGCCTGAGTGGTATTTTTAAATGGGGACAGTAACAAGTGAGTCATAGAATATAAGCCTATAAATTATTATGAAAAGTATCTACTCTCAAGCAGCTGTGCATTGCACATTCTGAACACGTGTAATGTTAAAATATAAATGATGATCTAAAAAATATTTTTCTCCAGTGTATTTTATTTTGTATCATTAAACAATATGTTGAAGATTTTTCTTCTTATTCTCTTTAACACTTCGGAATATTCTCTTTTTTAAATTGTGGCTCATTGAGACATTTTTTATTTGTTTTAAAGCAATTTGTTCCTGTGTAAAGCTATAAAATCTGTCATACGTGTCTAACATTAAAAACTATCTGGGTCAGAATACATACTATTAGGATAATAAGAAAAGCAAGCAATCAGCTCTTTTCAGATTGTTGGCATTACTCCACCTCTCTAGGGGGCTTGAAAGATTAAACAACCTGATTCATGGGTTGTATGTTCACTGTGAATTCTTATAGAGGATTTTATACTTTACTGTTGGGCTAGTAAACTATCTTCACCATAATTCCAAATTTATTTTAGAATAAAGCAGCCACAAAATGCAAAACAGGCATACTATCAGGGAGGACTTCAAACCAAGATTAGCAAATAAATCTTACTATTGGCAGAGCTAAGTGTCTAGTAGCAAAGGATTTTTCAGTTGAATGCCCCAGAGTTGGAAGTGCTTTTCCCACACTGAGCAGAGAAATATTACAGTCTACAGGAGATGGTCTGGTGCCATCACTAAACAATGAGTCTACTATCCCTCTGTAAGTCTGTCATATTGTGGTATGACACAACAAGTTATGATTTCAAATGTTTCAGTATTTCAAATGCCAGCAAGGTTACCCAAGGTGGACAGGTTTCAGCAGAGCTTCCAGACTAAGAACAGGAAGAAAAGTGTGGCTATCTACTTCAGAAAAGTAGCTAGTAAAAAGCCAATGGATTACAACAGAATATTTTATCACAGAATATGTTGTCTAAAGATGAGCCAGCAGGTTGGAAGGCACATAAAAGACAGTCACTTCAACAATGGACTTGCAGGGCCAGGCAACATTTCATTCTGTTGTTCGTGACCCGTCATGAATCATAGCTGACTCAATGGCAACTAATAGCACTAACAAAGCAATGAGAAGAAATATAATAATGAATTAAGTAAATTTCTGGTTCTATTGGACAGAATAGTCCCTGCTTCTAGTGTGCAAAGTGGGAAGAGAATGCTTCTCAAATTTCAAAGTACTACAGACCAACTGAGCCTGATAGTAAAGTGAAGATTCTGGTTTAGAAGGTGAAAAGTGTGTATTTCTAACAGACTTCTAGGTGATGTTGATACAGATGATTCATCTACTTTTTCAGTAGTGAGGAACTAAGCAGGGAGGAGCCAACAAACAATAAAAAGGACACCTACATACAGCAATAAAGTCAGTTCATAAAGTCTGATGAAATGGTTATGAAGATCAGTTGGCATTAGAAGGAGCACCAAGAGCAAAGTTATAATCATAAGAAATACAGAGCAGTGACTTTCAATAGTACTTCTGAATATTTAGCCACTAAAAACCTCATGAGTAGCAGTGGGACAATTTCAGAGATAGTGCCCCAAACTGAAAACATCATGACTAGGCACCAGAATATTGTCAGATATAGTACCAGAAAAGGAACCTATTAGGTTGAAAGGCACTTGAAATATGACTGGGGAAGAGCTGCCTCCTCAAAGTAGATTTGACCAGGATGACACAAATGGAATAAAGCTTTCAGGATCTTCATTTGCTGATAGAGCACAACTCAAATTGAGGAGAAACAGCTGTAAATATCTATTAATAATTGGAAAGTGGAATGCATGAAACATGAATCTAGTAAAATTGAAAGTTGTCAAAAATGAAATGGAATGTATACAGATCCATATCATAGGCATTAGTGAGCTTAAAAGGAATAGTATTGGCCATGTTGACTCTGACAATCATAGGATTTACTATACCTGGAATTCAAGAGGAAAGGTGTAGCATTCCTCATCAAAAAGAACATTTCAAGGTCTAACTTGAAATACGTAGTCTTTAATAATATAATATCCATACACCTCCAATGAAGACCAGTTCATACCACTATTATTCAAATTTACACTTAACCCAGTAAAAATAAAATTAAAGAATTCTACCAATTTCTTCAGTCTAAAATTGATAAACATGAAATCAAAATGCATTGATAATTATTGGGGGTTGGAATGTCAAGATTGAACTAAAGAAAATTAAAACCAGTTCATGAAAGTCAAAATATTATGAAAATATGAACTTATTCCATCTGAATTTAGAGACCATCTCAAAACCAGATTTGATGCATTAGACACTAATGACTGAAGACCAGAAGAGCTGTGGGATGACATCAAGAACATCATGCATAGAGAAGAAAGACGTCAGACTAGGCAGAACGGCTGTGAGGGCTGTCTGCAGCAATGATACGGACAACCAGACAAGATAGATATAGAGGATGGTATCTGGAACTCTATGCTCCAGAGAAACAGACAGAAACATAGATCAAGTGTTTATTGGGAGGCAGAGTCGAATAGACATAGAGCGAAAAAATCTGAAGAAAGCGTAAGATTCATATGGGACAACATGTAAAGGACTAACCTACCAGTGACTGGAATTCCAGAACAGGAAAAGACAAAGAAAACTACAGAAAAGATAGTCGAAGTGATGCTGGGAGAAAATTTCCCTAACATCATGAAGGGTGAGAAGCTAAGCATTCAAGAAGCTGAATGAATCCCAGGAAGATAGACTCCAAAAGAAATACAGCAAGATATACCATAATCAAACTCTCTAAAATCAAAGATAAGGAAAGAATCCTGAAAGCATCTAGGGAAAAATGAAATGTTACCTACAAAGAAAAACCGTTAAGATTAAGCTCTGATTTCTCAACAGTTCTCAATTAGTTATTGATGAAGATCAAAGACCATAGCCTTCAGTATGGATTACCCCTCAATGTAAAGAAAATTAAAATTCTTACCACTGGACCAATAAACATCAAGATAAATGGAGAAACGATTGAAGTTGTCAAAGACTTCATTTTGCCTAGATCCACTATCAATACTCATGGAAACAGCAGTCAAGAATTCAAACGATGTACTGTATAAGGCAAATCTGCTGCACAAGGCCTCTTTAAAGTGTCAAAGAGAAAAGACATCAGTTTGAGGACTAAGGTGTGTCTGACCCAAGCCATAGTATTTTCAGTAGCCTTATATGCATATGCATGTTGAACAGTGAATATGAAAAGCCATAGAAGAATTAATAAATTTGAGTTATAGTGTTTGGAGAAGAATATTCAAAGTATTGTGGAGTGCCAGAAAAGCAAGCAAATCTGTGTTGGAAAAAGTACAACCAGAATGCTCCTTAGAAGCCAGGATGATGAAACTTTGTCTTTCATACTTTGGACATATTATCAGGAGGCATCAGTTCCTGGAGAAGGATAACATGCTTCGTAAAGTGGGGGCTCAGTGAAAAATAGGAAGACCCCAATGAGATGGATTGGCTCAGTGGCAGCAGCAATGAGCATTAGTGTAACAACAATTGTGAGGATGACGCAGGATCAGTCAGTGTTGTGTTTTGTTTTGTTGTGTACAGGGTTGCTGTGAGTCAGAGATGTCTGGACAGCACCTAACAACAAGAAGATTTCAATTTTTTACATTTACAATTAGCTCTTAGCATCCACTGCTGAATAATGTCACTCTATCAATATATCCTCCTACCTTCTCTTACCCAGACCTAGCAGAATAAAACTGTTTGGTGGCAGTTACAACCTATTACTACACCACAGCTTTATATGGTATTCCTATTTTCAACTTTTGAAGAAACACAATACCATTTTCCACAATGCACAGTGGTTGCACCATTTTACAGTCCCACTAGAAATGTTTGAGTGTTTTAGTCTCTCCACACCCTCACCAGATTTCAATGGTGGTTTTTTTGAGGCTATTCCATTTCAGTCATGGTAGAGAATAAGTGCAATGGAGTGTGCCCTATTTCACACCAGCTTCATTACGATGGCATTTAAAGAAGGCCACCTAATAGGCAGTGATGATTGGATTGTCAATATAGCCTGTTGCTTCCACTTACCTCCCAGATAATAGGTGTCCCCTGATTCGATCTGCCGATGCACTGGGGAGGAAGCAGCAGTGGCTGTGTCACTGTCCACCATCACACTCAGCTGATTCTTTTTAGCAGATAAGGATACAGAATGCCATTGCCCATCATTTAATCCAACACCTTGGGGTAAATGAAATAGGTTCAAAAGCCGGTAAACCCACACAAGTTGCTGTTGAGTGTTAACAGTACAACTGTTCCCTAAGGTCTTCATTGTATGATTTTATAGAATCACCAGAGCTTACTTCAATGGGTATGTCCATGGGTGGACATGAGTCACAAATGCTTTGGTTAGTAGCAAAACATGTAACCACCCATAAGCATAGATCCCTATGAGCACAACAAGTGCTTGAACACACTGAGATACAGGTCACGGTCAACTTGGCCTACCCAAGATCAACATGAACTTACCTGTTGTCAACCGTCAGTTTAGCTGACTGTGGTGCTGGTAAAGGCACCATGGAGGACTGGTGGGGCCTTTGTCACAGATAGATTTTTACAGGGAGAGGTTAATGACCAATTTGGGTTTGTGTTGAAAAATTCCAAAGAGGAAATTAGTTGATTTAGAATCCTGATAGTTTTTCTTCAGAAAGAAGACATTACCTATGTCTGTAGAAGAGGGGCTTGTTGGATTAATTTTGTGTTTGCAAAAGCTCTTTGCCTCTTGTTCATCATAGTCATGGAATGGCCTATATGATCTTACTAACTTTCTATAAAAGTATGGCCTATATGCCTATGTTGTTGTTGTTAAGTGCCACTGAGCCAGGGCGATTTCTCACTTTCTCACAGGGCTTCAAACTTGTTCATTCCAATTCAACCCACTGCTGAGGATTTGCATTTCCTGAAATGCACAAACCGCCCCCCAAATTTTGGAAATTCTGTTAAACTGATTCTGATTCAGTATATCTGGGGTGAAAAGGCAAATTATCAGAAGAGAGTTAAAGCGGAATGGACTGGTTCAAAGCCCTGTTTTCTCACCACTTACATCAAAAAGCATAGGTAGGAAAATAAATTTTAAAAGAAAAAAAGGAGAAAGAAAAAGAATGAAGAATTGAGATACTCTATATACAAAATTAG